AAAAAATGAGATGGGCATCGCTGCCTACGCCGACGGCCAGAGGCCCGCGCATCTACATTTTTTCGCCTGACCCCATCAGTGCCGACCCAACTACACCACCACGCGCATGCCTCGCGGCGGATATGCGCAGCAGCAAGAAGGTTTCGGTCATCCCTTGAGGGTGAGTCTAGCCCTGCTCGCCAGAAAGACCCCCCCCTTCACTACAACCCATGTCTAAGCAAAAGCTTGTCGAGGAGCGAGGGGAAGAAGGGAGAATTAGTGTAATATCGAGCCCGAATTGAGCTGTGGATACCTGCGTCGACGAGGGCTGGACTGGACGAGTAGACCGTCGAAAAGGAACATAATAACGACTGGGACAGCAGCACAGCAGCAGTAGCGTCCCCTACACGATGGTACCCGCAGAGACCGGGGTGCTGCTGCGCCGCGGTCTTCCTTTTTCCGCAAGGTTCCTGATCTCGGGTAGGGGCTGCGGCTATGCTGCCCCGTGTTGACAGTAGCGCTGTCCTACCGCCCGGGCTGCAGCAGCCGTGACGTCGGGAAGTTGGTCTGGCGTGGAGTTTGCGATGGCCAGCAGCTCATCCCACAGACAACACGTGGAGCCGTCTCGCCATTGGTGTGCCATGTGCTGCCAAAACTGAGCAACTTCCTCTGAGTCCATGATGCTGGTAGTGATTGGGGTTTACTTCTGCTGCTGCTGTTGTGCCTAAAGGTAGAGAGGTAGGAGCGGCAAGGAGACTATCGTCCCCGGCCACTTTTCGCTCACATAGCAAGGGTTTTCGGGACTACAACTCTGATCACAGCTCCGATCTTCCCCCTCTATCTGTAGCATAGAAATTGATAATTTTGTACGAATTTATTCTATTTGACCCGATATTGCGTTATTTTGCGATTCGTACACAGGAGGAACGGAGGGGGGGGGGTTGCTGGACCGAGTCCGGAGGGCGGTGTGGGGGATGCTATATGCCGACGATGCCGGCGTTGTGTCGAAGTCCGCCGACGGCCTGGCGAGGATGATGACCATTATCGTGGAGGTGTTCCGGGAGTTCGGGCTGACGGTGTCGGAGAGGAAGACGGAGACCCTGGTGATGCGGGTGAAGGAGAGACAGCGACCGCCGCCGCCGCCACCGCCGGTGCTGACCATCGAAGCAGCGGGGCAAAGGTACGCACAGACGACCGAGTTCCGATACCTGGGCGGCCTCGTCAACGAGCAGGGCGACCTTACCCGAGAGATCAACCACAGGAGCAAAGCAGCGTGGGCGTGCATTAAGCGATACGCCACGGAGCTCTTCGACCGACCGGGAGCACCGTTTCGCCTCAAAGCCCGCCTGCTCCAGGCGGAGGCAGTGGAGGCACTGCTATACGGCTGCATGACATGGTCCCCACGCCGCAACCACTACGGAATGCTGCAGACGACACACCACCGGCTACTCCTGCGAGTCATCGGCTACCGGCGCAAACGAGGCACCTACCGGCAGCTGTCATACGCCCAGGCGCTAAAGAGGGTCGGCTGCCAGAGCGTGGAGGCCACTGTCCGTCAACGGCGCCTGCTCTTTGCGGGGGCCGTGGCAAGACAGCCGGACGGGCGGCTTCCGAAACGGCTGATGTTCGGCGAGTTGGTGGGAGGGGAGGACCCGGGCCAGGGAAACCCGGAGCAGAACTGGCTGACATGCCTGAAGGACGACATGAAGATGTTCGAAGCCAGGTACGGCTCCACGACCGACAAGCCGAGCGTCTTCGGAGTCCCGAAGTTAGTCTGGAGTGAGGCGGCGAAGGTGGAGGGGGGGGTACCGTGGCACGCGGGGGTGCTACAGGGAGCTGAGAGGTTCATGGCCTCTTGGCACAAGGGCAAGGAGGAGGCCAACCGACAACGAGCCATCAAACGAGGAGACAGCGGGCCCAAAAATAGTCTAGATACGGCACCAATCAACGGGGCGGTAGGGGGGCGGAAGGAAACGGCGCGGCGGGAAGAAAGCAAGCGAGAAGAGACCGACCGCGTGACGTGACATGTTGCGGTCGAATTTCAACGACTAATTTTTCTGTTGCCCTCTCCCCCGTTTGCTGTCGCGTTCAGACTGTCTCTAGGGATATCCCTGTCTCTGTGCGAGTTTGTTTGTGTCCTCGTCTTTGCTTTATTCTGTTTTATTTTGTCTTTTGTTTTGTTTTTTACTGGCACGTACCCCCGCCCCTTCCTTTGGCCGTCGACCTGCCTCCATGTAGTGGGAGGCTACCCCCCCAGGCTGGTGGTGCGGCCGTTCCACTAGTCTAATTATTTATTTTATTTTATTTTATTTGTTTCTGATTATATTTTGTTTTCTTGTATTTTATCGCTCTGCTGACCCTTGGGGTCCATTTTATTTTGGTATACCTTTTCTAGGTACGTTAGCCTGTGACCACGGAAATTGGCCGAGTCAAGTGATGGATTAGTACGGAGAGATTGAGACAGAAGGAGGTACTGGATAGAGAGACCGGGATGGTTTTTAATGTGAAGACAACAACAACAACACACAGCAGTTGGTTGCATGCTTCAGATTATTTTTTCGTTTTGTGCCCAAGTTATCGCTGGCGCACAGGAGTAAGGGTCCACCTTGCGATGCCTCTCGACGGGTCCCCTCTACGTATGCGTATCGGCGTCTCTTTTTAACCGAATGTCATACCAGGAGGCCTGCTGCTACTGCTCTGCTGCTGCTTCAGATGCTGGTGTGCTGCCGACGGTTGGATATTTTTTCGGATATTTTCCCGATGTCACATTCGTTCGTGCGTGGATATGTCTCGTCGCTCCCAACGAAGGAGCGCTGAAAGTGGAACGTTTGGAGGTGCCAGACCTCGCGGGCGGGGTGTGCTGCCTCGGCCGCGGGCGGACAGCAGTGATATTACTAGAGCTATCCCATGTGGATACCCATGTTCAGTTCACAGCAGCAGCAGTGCAGGGTGAAGAAGACAATGTGTTTGCCTCTCTCGATCGAGCCCCCCATTTCACGCCCAGCTCGTACAGCAGTCACCGATGAGAGCCCTGATGTGTGTTGGTCTGTTGTTACATACCAAAGGTTTGTGGGNGAGCTATCCCATGTGGATACCCATGTTCAGTTCACAGCAGCAGCAGTGCAGGGTGAAGAAGACAATGTGTTTGCCTCTCTCGATCGAGCCCCCCATTTCACGCCCAGCTCGTACAGCAGTCACCGATGAGAGCCCTGATGTGTGTTGGTCTGTTGTTACATACCAAAGGTTTGTGGGAGCAAGGGAGTGGCGTGTGGATGCGACCATGTGTACTCGAGTGCATGTGGGAGATACCGGTAGGGTGTGTAGAGAACGGGAGACGGTGGTTGAAATATGTGTGTTCCACAGCTTTGGCCTTGATGATCAGCGGTCTCTTCGCCTATAAGTTGGCTGAGNGTGTGTAGAGAACGGGAGACGGTGGTTGAAATATGTGTGTTCCACAGCTTTGGCCTTGATGATCAGCGGTCTCTTCGCCTATAAGTTGGCTGAGTCTTACGGCGTGATTATTTCGGAGATTTTTTTTTCTCTCGGACGGGGGGGG